GGGAAATCTTCCAAAAGTTAAAAGACAAATACAATTTTAACACAATTTATAATTCCAATCAATGTCGCTGAAAAATAAAATCAAGGCACTTGCCACAAAGTGAACTTATTTTTAATTTTTATTTAACAAACGAAAGTAAGTATTAAATTTTTAAATAAGACTAAAAAAGCAAAAATTTAAACTTATTTCTTAAAAATGTTTAATCTTGGCAATGAGTTTGTATTTGTTTTTAAACGATTACATTTATGATTTTCTTTAACAATGACAAATATTTCCATGTTGTGGAACAAACAAACACTTATTTTGTTACTATTAGTAATTAATAATTGTTATTATTACTATTCTCCTACCTAGTATTTATTTACTAATAATGAGTTATGAGTTCGATTCTCACTAGCTACCAAAACTAAATAAAATATTTTTTTTTTTTTTTTTGTTAGGGTTGAGCAAGGAAGTGTAGAACCCTTGTCACATGACCTAAAATACGACATGTCGCTGGTAGGTGAAATTTTAAGTTCGAACTTCGATCCCTTAAAAATAATATTCTTTTGAGAAACTTAAGAGATTAAGAGTCATCATTGAAAGTAAAATTCTATTTGTATTGATCTTTTTCTAATCGCTTTGATTTGTACTTACATTGTTAAAGAATTATGAATGAAAAAAACTAAAAACAACTTTTAAAAATGATATTGCTTGTGAGATACGACATAAAAAAAATTAATTTCATATTTTATGATCCAAATGTGGATTTTATTTTTTCTTTAAAACAAGAATATTAAAAACTGCCAATATTTTATTTGAAATCTATTCACAATTTAAAATTATATATTTTTAAAACGGAAAACATTATTTTTATTTACTATTATTTTCGTATGACTTTTTATTTTTTTCCTAGCGGTATTTAATATTTATATTATCATCATCATTATTGTTATTATGTGCAGTTATTTCGGCGCCAAAAATAATGTACTCCATTCATTTACAAATGATGTGACTGTTTTTTTTTTTAGTTCGTAGCTACTTAGTCCTTGGTTAAAACTTAAGTTAAATATGTCCTGTTAGTTTGAGCGACTATTTGGTTCTTACATGTTCTTGCCTTCTTTTTCAGTCTGTGAATTACTAAATTATTTTGTCATGATCAGGTAAGAATTTCATTTCATTCTTCTTAACTTATTTTAGTTTTTTTTTAGGCTATTATTCAGTATTCATTGCATTAGAAAAATAAATCATCAAACAAAAAAAAATTATTAATTACTGATTGAAGCTTGGCTTTCGGTCACTTTGTAATTGTTATTTCATGCAGGGGATGAAAAATGAAATACTTTCGTTTAAAAAATCAATCCGATTGATTGATTAACCATATAGTAATTCATTTTTTTTTCCGAATCTAATTTTAAAATTAATTTTTTTATTAGTCTGATGATTTTTTAAAGCATTCATTTTAAGAATAAACAATCTTCTTTTTTTTTTTTTTTTAAAAAGTGTTTTAAAGTGTTATTACTTGAAAAAAAGGACATTTAAAAAAAAAAAAAAAGTAACCAACTGAAACAAACAAAAAAACTCTTTAAACATTGACATTATTTTAAACAAATTTCAAGTTCATTAGCGGTCCATAAGTGCATCAGATTGTCGTTTTATTTCCATTGTAGTTTTATTTTATTTTTTTAATTCGTTATATAATTTAAAATTCATTTAAATTAAGCTTAAATTGTTTTGTTTGGCGAAGAAAGTCATTGTTATATTCTATTTACGTCCCTTTGTCCACTGGTAGCAGCAGCAGCAGCCATTAATTGACTCATGGTAACCATGTGCTTTATTCGTGAAGTTGATGTCGATAGGAATAAAGGAGAAAGAGCTATGTATGCTTAAGATTTTCAATTCTGAAGACAACTATTGTAATCAGGGAAATCTTGGACTTAACAACAGACTGACATGTTTTTTAATTTTGCCCCTTAAAATTTCATAAAGAAAAAAAAAAAGAGGGAGAGATAAGAAAAGGCAAATCAGTGTGTGTAAACTGTAAATCGATTTACTCTGCAACAGGTTTGTGCAAATAATAATAATAATAATTATATAAAGAATCTTTTTTTCTCTTGCCACATCAGTATTTTTTATTAGACTATTTATTTTTAGATTATTTTTTTTTTTTAAATTTGAAACCAAAAAATACTATCGTTTTTAGATCCTCTTTTTTTTTCTTTATAATGTTTACCTAAAAAAAATATATATATTTATTTCTTATCTATAATTACTTACTTGGCTTGTATTTTGCTCTTATTTTATTTCATATTCTGTTTTGACTTTGCGATAATTCGACTCACCTGAACATTTTTCTTGGCGAGCGTTCAACACTCAACCGGCCTCAAATTTTTCAAAATAAAAAAAAAGAAAAGAAAATAGCATTAAAAAATTCTTTTTCTTAAAATAAACACGAAACAGTTGGAAAACAATGTAAATACTATGTTTCATTACGATACGAATGATTTCTGTAACCTTTCTTTTAAGTTTCTTTCACTGTTCATTGCTTAGTCTTGAAGAATTTTTAAAGTATAACGACATCAACGTCTGTTCATAACTTTTAAAAGTCAACATGCAAAAATTTCAGTTATCAATTTATTCTTTGATTAAATTAAATTCAAAACATGTAAAAAAAAAATGAACTATCAAATATTCGATCATTTTTAAAACTTAAAGCTAAAAGTAGCTGGAGGCGGAATGAAGAAAAATTGACTTTTAATTTAATAAAATATAATTCCAAGGAATTAATATTCCAGAGTTTTCTGATTAATTAAAAAAAAAAAAACACTTGAATTTTATTCCGAATTTTTAGGAACGGCAAAAATAAAAATAAAAATAAAATTGTTGATTATGAACTAGAAACATGGAGTTTTTTTTATTTAAATAAAAAAAAAAAAGATTTTAAATATCTCCAAAAACCATGAAATTGAAAACATACACCTCATATATATATATATATATATATATGTTAAGAAATGGACGAGGTCCGACAATTTATTTATTAAAGACATTTTTATTTATGTTTAAAATCTATAAAAATAACAACGTTAAACATAAATAAAATGTCTTTAATATATATATATATATATATATATATAAAAATCAAGTCGTTTTCTAATTTTTTTATTATTTAATTGTGAAACCTGTTTTTTTGGGGGTTTTTTTCATTAACTGTAACAGTGTAACTTGCAAAAATTGTTAAATTAGGTTATTTTGTTTCAAGACGTAGAATTTTTTTTTTTTTACTTAGTGATCCTTGTTTATTTTTTATTTTATTTTTTTAAATTCTACACAAATGCAACAAAAATTTATTAATTTAAAGAAAAAAGTACTAAAAAATCGTATATTTTTATCAAGATTTGTTCTTAAGATTAGCTTTGCTGAAATTTTTGCATGTTCTGAGCAGTGACTTAAAAAAAAAGTTACCTTTTTCTTTTTTTAAATTTACTCATTACACTAAAAACTACTAGAACTAAACAAAAGTAAAAATTTGTGCAAAAAACGCAAGGATTTTATACACTTGGGTCTTTTAAGACAAAATTTGTCATAAATGATTTATGCATTTTAACTTTTTTTTTTTTTTTAAAAAACAAGTATCACTATTTCATCAGTTTTTTAAAAAAATTAACTATTTGCCAAATAGTATTTGGTAAATGATTATGAGCTAGTTAACATAAGCCGTCATTTGAAGAAATTATTAATTTAAAAGTAAAAGTAAAACCAACTAACTTTTGATGAAGTGTAGTAAAAAGTAAACTTCCTATATTTCATTTTAATGAAATTTTGTCAGATTCAATTTTTTAAAAAGTGTACATATGTTTTCTTATTAAATAGTTTAAATTTACTAAATTTAACTTAAATACTTTTATTTTTCTTGCTTCATTATGGAAATTGACATTTTTCATTTAAGATCCTCATGTATGTAATTGTAAAATAAAATACTTTAATAATTACTAAGATGATCATTTTTAAATTTGTTTAGTTTGTTGGCTGAAACTTTCAAAGCTATATAATAGTTTATGCTTTGAACTGCATTTTAAATAAAAATACTTTAATGAATTGTCTATATATTCTTAAATAATTTTAAAGGAAATGATTTTCTGTCCAAAATGGCTTCCTAGCTTTTCAATAGAAAATCCTTTCAATGGAAAGGAAATTTAATACTTTTTTTTTTTCTAGTTTTAATCCTGATAAGTTTTTACCCAACTCAAAAAATTATTTTTGTAATTTGATCTATGCTATATTTTTGAGTATGGTGCATTTCAGTAACTGTCAAAATATTCAGCAATAGAAAATAATTGTCTTTCAGACTTAAGGGAAAAGTTGGATAAATAAATCAGTTCTAATTTCTTTAAATGCTAGTGAAAAAAGGTTAAAATAAATAAATTTTGTATTTTAAAAAGTAGTAGTTTTTTCTGTTGGTATTAATGGGCTGTGCAGATAAAATTATATTAAAAAATTATGAATGCCAAAATGATATGTAAATAAAACCTATTTAACTTTCTTTTTTGTTTTCTTCTAGTGTATAATGCATCAATGCAACACAACATGAAAACTGTTGACATTGCTATAGGACAACAGCAATGTGTGACTTGGAATTGGGTAAGATTACATCCGGGCTTAATGAAGTGTCATTGAAGAAGCAATTACCTTTGCGTTTTTCACAAGCATCACAGCATTCATTTGCAGAAAAACGCCCTCTCCAGTCTGACTCACCTCATGTTCGACATGTTTCTTATTTCCAAAGACTAGATTTGCAAACTGTAAAAGATGGCAATTTTCTTAAAAGTTTGCCACAGTATTCCACGCCATCTCAGTTTTCGAAGTATTTTTATAGCCATCCACAGGCTAAGTATTTAGGTTCATCTGATTATAATTCCAAATTCAGTGAATCTTCAATTCATAAAAAAGAAAAGTCTTCCAACCCTTATTCCCGGCCACTGAGTGCTAAGGAATTGGTACAGAAATTTTCAGACAGAAAAATGGCATCCTCTTCCATTACCATTCATAACAAGAATGATAGCTACAGATGTAAGGGTAATTTCCCTATGAACCTCAACTTCTTCCTCAAGCCACAAAGCCTTTTAAAGACTGATGTTGCCTTACAGAAAGTTGAAAGTATAGCCAAACATTCCTTGATATCTGACAGTAGTTTGTTGTTAAGGTCCGTCTCCAACAGTTCGTCAAAGGAAACTTTTACTACAAACAGTGTATTACCCCAAAAAGCTCCTTTCTTGTCAAATAATCCTCCTCATGTCCCATTTTCTTCCTTCGGCAAACACATATCTTCCATTCCTAAACCAGGTACTGCCCAAGTGAAAGCTTGTGAAAGGCCACTTTCTGTTAGGAACTTAAATTACACTCCAGCTCTATCTTATGATGAAGTAATGCTTTCAAATGGTGAAGTCATGGACACTCAGTCAGATCTTCCCAAGGAGGAATCTGAGACATTGGATAATCACAGCCAAACAATGTATTATAAAATTGGATACAAAGCAGAAAAATGTTTTTCTGAAATGAAACTATCAGTGGCTGCAGGCTTTAGTCCTGAGAATTCTAAAATCAAATCTCTTTTGGAAGATGAAGATGGATTTCAGGCTGTCAACCAAGAAACAAATTCACCTTCTGCAGAGATGTCCTCTGCAATTAGCTACTCACCTGAGAATAGCTATATTAAAAGGTTTGTTATAAAGTTTCTGTTTATATCATTTCACATTAATTTTTTTTTCTTTCTTCATATATGAAAACCCTTATATAAAAAAATATTTCCTCTACAATTTGATTATTGTGGTTAAAAATGTGGCTTTGAACAAGGTATTCTGAATAGCTTGACATCTGCAAAACGTATGATGTTAATTAATACTGAGAATTTTACATTATACTGGTAAAATATTTTATTTGTAAAATATTCTTAATTGCAACAATTTATAATTTTTAAAAATAAACCCATAACATTTAAATTTTGAGTCTGGAAGTTAATGTAACTCGCATTTCAGTATCTTATTAGTCTTCACATGTCAAATACTAGCAGTAGAGCCCGGCATTGCCCAGCGATGTAACAGTAAGAAATAGATCAAATATTGACCACCATAAAGACTGAAAAATAAAATGACAAAGATTATTGTTTAAGGTTGATGGACACGCATGTCTTAATTAGTGTTTTGTTTTTGTTTTTTGTTTTTTAACGAATTGGTCAAACCCAAACTCTAACAAAAATATTGTTTTCAATCGTTATGAGTCTATCGATTGAATAGAATTTTATTATAAACAATTGTCTTGTAAATGGAATTTTTAAAACATTCTGAATGTAAAAATAAAGAAAAAAGTATGCAAAGGAATAAGAAACACTACCTGCCAAAAAAAGTGAAGTTTTGTTGAAATCGGTTGAAAAATGTAGGAAATCCGATCCCATATATAAACACACACACACACACACAACCTGGGTTTTATAAGTATAATTTGATATAAGTTGTCCCCCTTTCATTCTGGCGACAAAATTGTTTTCAAATTGATTTCGTGCAAAAACAATTGTTTTTTTCCAATTTTTGGCACTGTCAAAACCACCGCAAGGTAATTTTACACAGTCCTGTGAAGTTTTGTTGAAATCAGTTGAAAAATGTAGGAAATCTGATCCAATATATAAACCTACAGACACACACACACACAATCTGTTTTATAATAAGTAAGATTAACCTTTATTACTCTGTATGTGACTTCATTTGCTCTACAAAATGTTTATCCTGCCAATGAAGGTGATTTTGATCCCTGAATTTGAATTTGTTTGAATTTTATAGTTATGTTGCTATGACAACATAAAACAACTTTGATTGAAATTAACATTAAGGATATTGTAATTGAGAGGCCTTGAAAACTAATGCAGTGGAAAGGAAGTAATATTAATAATACAGAGTGCTAATGGTTAAGCTGATAAGAATTAAGTACTGCACCTGACTCTTAGCTGAAAAGTCACATTCTGTATTGGACCACAGAAATCAGCTTGTACCTTTTCTGTTTTGTTAAAGCAATTTCTATTTTGGATTTGCTTCCTCACAAGGCAATCTGTGTTCATTATTTTTTTTCTTTTTCTCTCCATTTGTATAGCCGCCAACAGATTGATGGGCATGTTGCTATCAATTCTGAAGGTGAAACTGATGATTGCTTGACAGAAGAAACAGATTCTGATTATGAAGGTATGTTGGTCTTTGAATACGTTTTTTGAGGCTATAAAATTATCCAATTTTTAAATATTCAAACAAGTACATTCTTTCACTGTGTCTGCAATTAAATTTTAATGTTTAATGAATATGTAATGTTCAATCTTGAAATAGTAATTACTTTTTCATTTTACTGTAAAAGAATTTTGTTTGTATTGAAGTTTCTCTTTACTTTTGCAAGCTTTTTTTTTTTTTTCTCTCAATAAAAGGATATTCTCAAAATCTGATTGTTATTAAGTGTAAACAACTGGAGGAAGAAGAAAAGAACATGGTGGGGGGGATGATGGTCTATTTGGACATCTGTACATTGGGTGGAAGTGATGCTCAGTTACAAAAAAAAGGCACTAAATTACATGCGTGTATTGGCTTAGGGAAAAAGAAGACGAAGAAAAAACGGGCAGAAATGTGATGCCCATTTTGAAACCTGTTACATCTGGGATTCTGTTGGCACTTTTTCCATCCCACTTCATGCCACTTTTGAATAAAGATGCATTCAGTCAGGGAAATGGGTAGAAGAATGGGTGTTACTTTTCAAATTTTTGCTCCAGGTGTTAATCATTTCCTTTTGGGGGGGGAAGTGTCACCTGCCAAAATTGCCCAATGTGCTATTTGTGTGAGCTCCCCCAAATTTACATACCAAATTTATTTCTTAGTTGAAATTGGATATTTTGGTTGCCTAAAACATGCAGTTTTTTTTGTTTTTTTTTTTACAACAATGGCGTATTCTTTTGAATTTAAGTTACTGCAATTGCTGATTTGAAGTGAATAAATTTTCTTTTTATAAAATAAAATTTCTGATGATACTGAATAAACATAGACAACAGGGAAATCCTTCAGGTTGAGTAAATTCTGTAATTTTAGAAATCTCTGCACATTAAAAAGAAAAATGGCTTTAACATAATGAATAGTGCAATATTACTAACTAGCTTAAAACTACACTATCAGGTGACAATTAAGATAGCTCCTGCGGAGAGCTTTTGATTGGGCCTTCAGCTTGTTCAGGAGTTTGAGAATCCCTAAGCCTTTGCATATTTCCAGCATTGGAAGCTCTCCTGGTAGCTGTTTGATCTGGGTTTTCATTTGCATGGGACTTACTTTTCCTCGCTGCAGCCATAGCTCTTTTGATTGCAATCTGGTCTTCTGTTGGCGGAGATTTCTTTTTGCAAGGCATATTGCTGTTGTATACAATAGGCAACAATAAACTATGGAAGAACTCAAAATTGATTGTTGCATTTAAGTATTGCATTAATATTTAAGCTTACCTTTTAAAAGTTCAACAATAATTCTTCTGTCACTGCTTAATTTAAAGGCAGTTTGATGTACGTAGGTCCTTACTTTCCATACAAACAATTATTTTTATTTCATGGGTGACTTTTGCTGGATTTCATTATTAATTTTGATTATTCTCATTTATTTCTAAGTTATAAAAAATTTTTATTGTCCAAAAAAATTTGTCACAAAAAAAAATCACATAAAATTTGCCAAAAACAATAGCAGTAAGTAAAATTTTGGAATCCCAAATTTCAGGATTGCAGGTCCAGATTCAACCCAAAATGTGTTTAATTTGCTCATAGCCGACCTGATTCCAAAATGGTATATTTTGGGCTACAACTTCTAGGAGTAAAGTTGAAAAAGTGCTACACCCTGACATTCACATTTATTTATATAGATATAATAATTACTGTTGTGTATTTCTTTCAAGCCCCACCCTATAGCAGGAAGTGGGGTAAATTTGAGTGGTTACTTCCCAGGCAAAATAAACCATGTAGTTAACTTGTTCTGCTACGTTTCTTAGGTGGCTGACTTATTTGTTCAAGGCACTTCAATATTTTTGTCTATTAACTGATCATCTTGCTTCAACTTTGTTTTGAAATAGACTTTGTTGATGTTATGTTGCTGGTCTTCATTAGAAACCTTTACCATGCTAATTTCTTTCTAGAATTGTTTTCCACTAGCACTGCATTTTTTCTTTTTTTGTGCAAAAACATGAACACATACTGTTTTAAAATTGTTATAACTTTAATTATATTGTACGTATAGATTTAATTTTTGTACACTAATAAAAGAATGAATGAAGGCTTTCATTTTGACAAAAATGTGATGTTTCCTCGTGTTCATGAGAAAACACTTGCATTTGTTTGCTCTTTCTTTCACTTGAATTATATTTGTCTTGAGATATTCTTGTTGACGAATGAAGTTATTATTTTGTTGTTTAGAAATAGACTAAATAATTCACCTTCAGAAAAACCATCAGGTATATCGATGGTTGCCAGTAGCTTCCATAAAATTAGTCAAGCATGAATGATAGTAGCTGCTAGTGGTCATCATCACTTTCCTCCACATTGCTAGCATGGTTATTATCTTCGACCACTTCATCATTAATATCTACTCGAGTAAATCCTTCAAAATCATCATCGGAGTCCTACTCGAAGAAAAACTCCTGAATAAAGGCTTTGTTGGATATTGATGCGGCCTAAAAATTAATGTGGGTTTAATCAGTGTTACACCTCATGTAGTCTAGAAGAATTCAAAATGGTGTTGGTAAACAGAAGTTTAACCTTGTTCCAAAGTAGTATTAGGTGATTTCCAGCTTAAAATACCAGAAATAACTGTTGACAAGTGTTTATTTATAACGACTGTCTCAAGGCAACAGAGGACAGAATGCACCTAGAGTAGTAAAGGGAGAGAATTCTATGGCGACGATTTTTGTTTGCAGCATGATAAAGGTTAAACATAAAATCACTTACATGGAAAGATATTGAGCAAAAAATGATTTATAAAATGTTGGGTAATCAAGGAATCATATTATCATTTCACCCCAAGGGAGGCAATAAAGCTACTAAGACATGGCGGGGGGTGTACAGAGTATGAGATAATGGGGAGCACTATTAAGGAAAGAGAACATTAAGATGGCAGAAAATAACAATTGACATTTGCATTTAAATTTTTGAAGATCACAGTTGACTGGAAAGCTGGAAGAGGATTTCCACAAGCGAGAAGTATGAGAGAAGAAACTTTTGCGTAGAACTTACGGTTACATCTCATTTCAACTGTAAAATGATGAGACTTAGCTGCCAATCTAGTACTGCACTTAAATTCTAGGTATCATGGAGGAAAGTTCATCAGAACAATTATCATGAAAGTATTTATAGAAAAGGCACAGGGAAGCTACATGACAGGAGTGAGGAAAGTGACTGAAACTGAGATACCTCTAACATTACAGATTTGTCGGGGATTTTATCAATAATCACTAAATATATAGCATGAGCACTGGATCATATGTGACAGCAATATTCAAATCATAGATGAATGGTAGATTTATATGTAAGATAGATTCTGGCAAGACAAATTGTGTAGCATGGCACAGTGAGCCAACTTTCCTAGCAGTGGATTCAATGTAATCTTTTTCACTTTGTCAGTTGAAAACGTTAACCCGAGAAGGTGCAAGGAGTCATTCTCTTAGAGGTCAGCTAGTATCGTCCATGCTGATGGAAAACAAAAGAGGTTTTCAGAGATGATTAAAAGAGAGCAGTTTCACTTCAGAGGTGTTAAAAGTAACAATTCGTTCCTTGCCCCAGTTAACAGATTGTACTTTTTTTTTTTTTTTTTTTTTTTTTTTTAGATCAGCTGACAATTTGACCTTAAATAGTTTTGCCATCACCATAGATACTGAATTGAAAACTGATTGCATCAGCAAGGTCATTGATGGTATTTAGAAACCACTTAGGTCCAGGGGTAGAGCTCTAGTGGGGGGGGGCACCTGTATTAAGGCAAAAGGAATTGGAAGAGTGGCTGTTCAAGAAACTTTCATTTTGTGATTTGATAAGAAATCTGAATCGGTTCACAAATTTGTCCAGAGATACTATAACCTTTCAACTTTGAAGACCAGCATGCCAAACCATATTAAATGCCTTTGAGACATGCACAAAGTTTTACCATTCTTATCTAGAGCTTGATAGACTCTTTCAGCAATAATTAATATGTCAGCAGTTGACTTAGAGGGACAAAAGCCATATTGCTTATATGAAAGAAGACTGTGAGGTGAGATTAACCAATTTGGAGTTGATTAGAGTCTCTAGTAATTTGCCAAAAAGAGGTAGAAGACTAATAGGCTGATGGTTAAAAGGAACAAGCAATTTGCCAGTTAAAAACTGGAACTACCAAAAAGGATTTCCAGCAAGCAAAAAGCAGCAAGGCATTTATTGAGTTTAGAGAGAACAGGTTACATTTCTTAAGGACAAATTGCAGAGATACCATCAAGCCAACATGCTTTGTGAAGACCCTGTTTAGAGATGATCGCAGAAACTATGGATTGTCATGTATATTATTCAATAGTTATTAATGGAAGGTCAAGCAAATATACTCCAGATGTGTTAAGAATAGAATTTGAAGAGAATTTACAAGCAAAACATTGTTTTACCAGCAGAAGTTAACACGCCATATTGAGTGAAGAGAGGGTACATAGAAGATGTAGTCTTATTTAACATGCTATTACAGAGCTACCAGTTGTCATGAGAACCAATCTTGGTAGAGGCTGTATAGTGTCATTTTATCAGCAAACACACTTAGCATCTTTGAGGACATTTTGCAATTATTATGAGCAGATACAAAGAAACCTCTGTTGTAACCAGAACTGTCATGCTGGTACAGGCAGAAAAGGTGAGTCTTGGACAGACCAGTATTTATGAGAATGCACAAAAGCATCGATGTTGGTTTTTTATCCAAAAAGAAACCTCAGTGGCACAATTCGCAATAGGAAGGTTAAGAATATCAATCCAAGGGATGTCTTGAAGAACATCAAAAAAATGAATCCCAATCAGTACGCTGGTAACAGAAAGTTTTGTGAGGTTCCTTTCTAATAGACAGCTCTGAAGTAATATCAACAGATACTACAATCTGATCTGAATTGCCAAGAGGACATAGTTGTGATTCTCTACAAGAGCTAGGACAGGAGTTAAAGAAGAAATCAAGTAAAGAATGTTGATCAGAATTATTAGGGAAATCCACAATTTGACTGAATGAGCAACAAAAGTTGAAAGTCGGAATACTGGGAACATCAGTAACAAAATGCTTAAGCCACTTGATGTGATGAACATCAAAATCAAACACAAAAATGTTTGCAGATGATAAGAGAAAAAAGTTCATTTCTATATTGGCAGAAATTTTGTCTAATATGTTAGTCCTGAGTAGGAGAGCGATCAAGGAAAGAGAGATAGCGAGCTAACAATGTGCAATAATGAAAGTTGAAAGCAGATCAAAGAATCGTCTGGGGACTCTGAGACAATTGCCTTGCAATTGGAATATTTTTCCAGATGTAAACACCAAGGCATTGCATAAGTATCTTAGAATCTTTTCAACAAAGAGGAAGATAGCCTGGAACAGAGAATTCATTGGTAGTGTTAGAAGAATTTTAATTATTTTCACAAAGTGCAGATTTTAATATTAACCATCTAAAAGGGGGGGAGTTATAAAGGGAATGGATTAATTCATCAGTTCATTTTTCTCTATTTTAGTTGTGAATTCTGGTTTCTGCTTTACTGAATCTCAATACATTGTTTAAAAACATTTGTTCTATTGCATTTCAATGTTAAAACTAACAATTGCCATCATTATTGATAGCACAGGTACACTAGTTTATAGAATCATCCCTTTTAAATGGGATAATTTGTTTTCTTAATCTGAATAGGAAAGAACGAAATGAATAAATGACTATTGTTGGATTTTTTTTATGCTAACAGATTGGGGGAGGGGGAAACTTGGACAGTTAGGCAACTCGGAAGTGTTGTACCTGAAACTCAATATGAAAGGATGAAAAAAAAAAAAGATTTTTTTTGACTGTTGTAGCAACATTTCAGTGTCCTTGTGTATGGTTTGAGATTGCAACAAACTGTCTTGTTGCTTACACACAATGTCTGTCCTTATAATAAAAACGGTATAACAGACTGTCTTAACAAGATAACAATAATAACTTTCTGGAGAGTGGAAGGGATTTCCTTACAGCTTTTCAGATGGTCTCATTTAAATGTATTGTAGTTTCGTCCATCAAATCAGATTGGATCTACAACAGCAAACATTAAACTGATCAACAAAGAAAAAACAGGATCCCTGCTTTTTTTTTTTTTTTTTTTTTTTTTTTTTTTTTACCATAACTGATTGACACAATCATTTGAATTCCATCAATCCTCCACACACACACACATATTGAGCTTCTTGGTGAGTACAAGTTACAACACTTTTTTTTTTTTTTTTTTTTTTTTTTTCCAAAAAAAAGTTATGCTGATTGGATCCATTAAGGAATGTATAACAAAAACAAAGGAAATTGAAAACTTTTTTGTCTTTTTTCCTCTTGTTCAAAGTTAACAGCTATTACTACATAATTTATTAGGTGAAAAAGTTGACAAATTTAAATTAAAGTTTGTAGCTCATTTTCTAATATATTTCTTTGAGAAATTTTAGTCTCATCCTAATGTTCTCTTTTTCAGAAGAGTGTGAGTTGGACAGTAGTTATAGCAGTCTGTCACAGCAGTTGTCTAGTTTACGACCCAAGTTAACATCCTCTGATCAGCCAAATAGCACTTCAGGTGCACAACCAATTATCTTTCCAGCCCTTACTGCCAGTCTATTCCCAAATGTACCACCCACAATCAATTTTGTGTACAATGGATGCAAAGGTGATTTTTATTCTTATTTAACATCTGCTTTGTGTTTATTTTCCTCAGATTTATAACCACTTGTTTTAATTTTTCTTTTTTCTTTTTTCTTTCTTCTCCCTCCTCTAGTTGATTGCTTACCTTCAGAGATGAAACGTTTGTTGAGATGGCGGCTTAGCCCAATTACGCCACTTGTTGTAAAAAGTGCTTTAATGAGGGCAGGCTTCAAAATAACAAAGAGTAAGTAATTTGATTACTTGCATTTGTATTTTTATTATTAACTATCCTCCTACTGACTTTTGAAATTTTGACAAGCAAAAAGAAAAATGTTTGAATAAAAAGTGTCATTTCTTTAAATTGCATTGGAGATAATATTTTGCTGTCTGAAGCTCCTGTCCTGATACTTAAATTATGAAAAATTTCATCATTTGAACATTTAAAAACCTTTTTTTTTTCTTTTTTTTTTTTTTTTTGGGAGGGGGTGGCTCTTATTGAAATGTATATTCCTCTAGAGACTGCTAAATTTAACATTTATTTTCAAAAAGTAAAATTCCATTCCAGAACGTTTTTTTTAAAATACAGGAAGAGGAGTGAAATAAATCGATGCCTGTGGATTGAATCCAAAATTCTGAGGTTACAAATATGAAAATTATTTCTCTTTTGGGGATTTCTTTAGCAATCATATCTTGTTCCTAAGAAAATATCCATTGTTTCTAATATTATCTGACAAAATTCACTTGATCCATCATCAGAATTGTTGGTTAAATTGTTTTTTCACAATTTCCATCCTTATTTCATAAGGCTTTATCATCTATTTAAAAAAACATTTCAGAATCATCATTTGAACTGGAAAATTAAGTATTTGTAAATGGCTGTTACTTTTTCAAAACAGATATCGAATGGTTTGGTCTCTAAAAAATATTTTATAATGAAACCATTTAGGAAAGATTATATTTGCACTTTTTTTCCTTCTCTTAAAAAGTCATCAATATTTATTTAAAATTTCAATATTTCTCTCTTGTCTCGTCGTTTGTTTCTCTCTCTTTCTCTATTGTTCTCATATATTTTTTTTCATTCTTTCTGTAGAGAACTTTGATTGGATTGGTTGTTTTGGTAAGCACATGAAAAGCCAAGCATTTCGTACACTCAGAGATTTTCAGAAGGTAAAATTCATTTAAAATTGCTTAATATTTAAAAACACATTTTATCCATGTGTTGTATGTAATGTTCAGGGCTCTCATACCTTTTTGCTATTGGCATATATTCAGGCTAATGAATAGCAACAAGGTACAAGATTAGAAAAGAACAGTTTGAGATCTTAGAGATCATTTTGAAGTAAAAGTAACTTATTACTGTTTTTTTTTCTCAATCTTTTAATAAAAAATCATTTAGTTTATTGATGAAGAGAAAATAATATAAATATACTGCAGATATTTCTCATATGAACTTAATGTTATTTTTCTTTGTTTCAGCTTAACCATTTTCCTGGTTCCTTCCAAATAGGCCGCAAAGACAGGCTTTGGAGGAACGTGTCCAAATTACAGCTACACTTTGGGAAAAAAGAATATGGTTTCTTCCCACAGACATTTGTCCTTCCAACTGATCTAAAACTATTCAAGAAAGTGTGGGAAGATGGTGGAAACCGTTTAAAATGGATTATTAAACCAGTGAGTTAAGTTCACTAACACTTCTACTATCCGCCCCTCTTCCAAGCCATAATTTTTTTTTTTTTCCTCCTTTACCTTTCTGATATCTAAAGACATTTGAAAATCATAGATCATTATGCTTGAATACATTTGGATGACATATATTTGAAAATAACTTATCCTGTTAAATTTTTCATTAAATATTCAGAGAAAGTAAAAAGATTATACTGCTCATAAATTCCATTTGATTCAGGTTCTTTTATTTGTAAACCAGTTCATATTCTAGTTTTAACTCTTCTATTTTCTACAACTTTCCATTTATTTCAGTTGTCATCAAACCTAACATATTTGAATAGTTTAACAATTGCATAATGTGTTTGCAATGTAACTTGTTTTAACAGTTTAATAATTTTTTTCCTTTTAATTTTCATAGAAAAGACAATTTGATATATTAATTTTGTCATTGAAGATATTTATTTACACTAGCAGTGCTTTTTTTTTTTTTTTTTTTTGTATCAAATACAAAATATTTCCTTAAAACCAGCATGGTGCTTATCTAGTAGGTCATGCCTCTTAACTTTCAAATATTTTTCTTTCCTGTATGATGATTTTGCTCCAGGAATCGATTCCCTATTTTTTATAAATTGAAAAATTCACTGTTATTATTCCAGACTACACTTTTATTTGTTACAAGACTTTTTTATTTATAAAAATAAGCCTTACCTTTTTTAATTTCTTAAAGCATTATTGTATTTTCTACAGAAATTAATTCTGCAACAATGTCTTGTACATTAGTTTATCTCTGTCAATGTTTAACTTAATCTTTGCACAAACATTTTCTAAATGTTCCCTCTTTGCAGAGCTTATTTTAAAAAAAATTAAATATTTAGTCTTATCAATAGTGGCTTATTTAATATCAATATAATGCACAATTTTAGTAGCCATAATTTAGCAAATTGAGCCAGTCTTTCTTCCCCCCAGTTATATTATTATTGATATAAAATAAATAGAAAATGGCGAAACCCTAAAATAATCATGATTCTACTCCTAAGGTGCAGCTTTAAATGGAGATTAAATTTCACTTTAAAATTGGGGATAAATGCCAATGAATTTCTTTTGAATTCAAATCTTATACTAATTTTCTAAAAATTTATTTTAAGCCAGCATCAGCTCGTGGGAAGGGAATAAGAGTTGTCCACAAATGGAGTCAAATTCCAAAACGTCGACCTATCATTGTTCAAAGGTATGTGTTTTCCAATATTTAACTTCTGTTTCAAATTTTTCAATTTCAAATTTTTCCATTTTATGACTTTACTTTTTTTTTTTTTTTTTTTTTTTTTCATTCTTTCCCCTCTTAGGTATCTCTCCCGACCTTACCTTATCAATAGCAGTAAATTTGATATCAGACTTTATGTGCTAGTAAGCTCTTTCGACCCTCTCAGGATTTACTTATATTCTGATGGATTGGTCCGGTTTGCATCCTGCAAGTGAGTATTGCATGATTGTCACATTTATTTAATTTTACCTTTTTCATACTGTAAAAGTTTGTTTTGTAATTATTCTAGGTATCAAATATCTGATTTGGAAAAAAAAAATAGTGTTTTCTACATGAATTCAAATGATTTTTTTGATTTTTCTTCTCTCTATTTGTAGGTACTCTACCACTATAAGCAGTCTAAGTAATCGTTGCATTCATCTCACCAATTACAGCATCAATAAGATGAACCCATTTTATCAAAACAACACAGGTGATAATTATCAAGGACATAAATGGTATGCTAATAGTTGTATATATGATACATTAACTTATCAGGAAAATAAATTCTACATTTCATATTTTAACCAAAACAGAAGCATTTTCACTATTTTAATCTTGTGTATCTTTTTTTTTTTTTTTGTGTGTGTGTTTTATTCATGAAAGTAAATATGTAAAATTTCATTATGGCATAATGTAAGCAGATTTTAAAAAAAAAAATATTTGATTTATTAATATAATTTAGGAATTTTGCTTTATTTTGAATAAGTGCTGAAATAAAAGGTATTTTTGGTTACATTGTAGGAGCCTGAAGACATTGTGGAATTATTTGAAAAAGCAAGGAGTCAATGTTCATAATATCTGGGAATCTATCAAAGATATTGTAATCAAAACTATAATCAGGTAATTCTATTAAAAATTTTCTTTTAATTTGGTGTTTTCTATTTCTGGACATTTTATTTTTAAAAACTTAGTTTTGCAGCATTCAAAAATTTATCAGCAAAACAGGTTTTTTGTTTTTTTTTATATACATAATAGAAATGTTAACAAGATTTGATAGATTTTTCAACAAATTGTACAGAAACATTTATAAATTTAGGCTGACTATTCAATGTGTTGTCTGCTGGTGCTGTCTCTCCTTCCACAGAACACTGCCAATAAATACTCAAGGCAGCTGAAAGTGAGCACTCTACAAATTATCTGTACCATATTTGATGAGAAAACTTCCTCATTCACTTTTCACATTGTCTTAACTTAAGTTGGACCAGTGGGCAGTATTTTGCACAGGAGTAGAGGTTTATCCCTTGTTTGTTGTTTAAGATTGGGTTTCTGGTTCCTTCTAAAGTCTTCTCATTCTCTTTCCTCCCATTAGCTCCTTGTGTGGCATAGCTGCCTTGCTTCAGATGAATTTTATATATATATATATATATATATATATATATATATATATATATATATATATAAGCAAATGTAAATGGATATAAATCCGACAGAATGAAGAAATTTTGAAAAAAAACAAACAAAAATCCTTAAATGTAGTTAAAATGAAAAAAAATGTCGACGTCTGACGTTTCGGTTTAATAAACCTTTTCAAGACAATATTCATCAAAAAAACAATTCAGTTCAATATGACAAATACGATGGACATAAAACACAAGTCTTATTCAGAAAAGATAACAGAAAATTTTAAAATGATCAGCCTTCCGTCTAAAATGGTCACTTCGTCGTCACATGGGCGACGCTTTCATAACGTATTCCTAAAAAAAAATGTGATTATTTTGAAATGAAAAAGAAAATGAAAAAATTCTATTAGGTTCTAAAATTCTTATGTGTATGCTTGTGAATAGCATCAATCTAAGCTAAAAAAGGAAATATTAAAGAAACCAGGTCTAGTATTCACCGTCCGTGAGATGGATATTATACCTGCTTCATAAATCCTCCTGAGATTTTTATTATGAAAATATTTTAAGACTTTCACGGAATCGAAATCGAAATTATAATCTGCTTTAGTTGTGTGTACAACTAAAGCATTATTAAAATGCGAGACGAATATCTCGTTTATGTTCGAAAACACGAGATTTTTAAGGACCTACCTGTTTTTCACCCATATTTTAGGTCACAATTTTTTTATTGATATTTGATAGATGCAAGCATCGGATGTAATATGTTGTCTGCTGGTGCTATTTAATAAACTACGGATAGTCCTAGTAGGTAATATAGTAGTTCTAATTTTTAATGCATTTTAGATTATGAGAGATACGTTCGGTCAAATGGTTATTTGGTAAAAAGATGCGACCAAACGAAATATTATCAGAGGCAGCTGAAATTGTATCTTTCATTGATCTAGTTGTAGTGGCCTTTGAGGTGTCATTTTAAGCTGATGAGTGAATTTTCAACGCTTTATTTTTAGCTCTCTGTAATAATTGTCTCGAATACGAAAGATTTGAAAAAGGTATCCTCAATATATGTAAATTCATCATTTAAATATTTTGATGAACAGATGCGAAGAGCCCTCAAATAGAATCCAATAACAATACCCCTCTTAGTGTTAGTATCATGGTGAGAGTAAAAATGTAAATAGTCATTTTTTACATGTAGGTTCTGATATACTTTGAATTCTAATTTATTTTTATTTTTTAATGAGTAATATGTCTAAAAAGGGTAAGGAATTATTAGATTCAAGTTCATAGGTAAATTCTATAGTAGGTTCTATTCTATTTAATCTATCAGTAATCTCGTTTAAATCATGCTTATGTGGGTAGATAAATAAAATGTCATCGATGTATCGAAAGTAATGTGTATCAGGTGGAATGACATCTTTAAAAGGTCCAGATTCAAGAAATTCTAGAAATATGCATGCTAGGAATCCAGAGAGGACTCCCCATCGGTAAACCAAATTTTATTTATAATAAATATTATTATATTGGAAGAAACAATGTGAAGTGCAAAGGATGCATAATTTGATGCATTTAGAGATAGAGATAGGTAGCTTAAAGTCAATTTTCTTAAGGTGGTTCTCTAATTGTTTAATGCATTTATCAACAGGTATATTAGTATATAAAGATTTGATGTCTAAGCTTGCTAGTAATTTGTTATCTATATCAATATTTCTCAACTTATTTAAAAGAGAGCCTGAATTCTTTATATGTAATGCTTACGGTTTGGAGTTAGAAATTTAGTTAAATACCTAGCGATATTATGAGGAGCTGAGCCTATACCACCTGATACACATTACTTTCGATACATCGATGACATTTTATTTATCTACCCACATAAGCATGATTTAAACGAGATTACTGATAGATTAAATAGAATAGAACCTACTATAGAATTTACCTATGAACTTGAATCTAATAATTCCTTACCCTTTTTAGACATATTACTCATTAAAAATAAAAAATAAATTAGAATTCAAAGTATATCAGAACCTACATGTAAAAATGACTATTTACATTTTTACTCTCACCATGATACTAACACTAAGAGGGGTATTGTTATTGATTCTATTTGAGGGCTCTTCGCATCTGTTCATCAAAATATTTAAATGATGAATTTACATATATTGAGGATACCTTTTCAAATCTTTCGTATCCGAGACAATTATTACAGAGAGCTAAAAATAAAGCGTTGAAAATTCACTCATCAGCGCAAAAAATGACACCTCAAAGGCCACTACAACTAGATCAATGAAAGATACAATTTCAGCTGCCTCTGATAATATTTCGTTTGGTCGCATCTTTTTTACCAAATAACCATTTGACCGAACGTATCTCTCATAATCTAAATGCACTAAAATTAGAACTACTATATTACCTACTAGGACTATCCGTAGTTTATTAAATAGCACCAGCAGACAACATATTACATCCGATGCTTGCATCTATCAAATATCATGCAAAAATTGTGACCTAAAATATGTGGGTGAAACAGGTAGGTCCTTAAAATCTAATTAATTTTCCGAACATAAACGAGATATTCGTCTCGGTAATTTTAACAATGCTTTAGTTGTACACACAACTAAAGCAGATCATAATTTCGATTTCGATTCCGTGAAAGTATTAAAATATTTTCATAATAAAAAATCTCAGGAGGATTTATGAAGCAGGTATAATATCCATCTCACGAATGTGAATACTAGACCTGGTTTCTTTAATATTTCCCCTTTTTTTAGCGAGATTGATGCTTTACAAGCATACACATAAGAATTTTAGAACCTAATAGAATTCTTTTCATTTTCTTTTTCATTTCAAAATAATCACAAACTTTTTAGGAATATGTTATGAAAGCGTCGCCCCCCATGTGACGACAGCGTGACCATTTTAGACGGAAGGCTTTCATTTTAAAAATTTTCTGTTATCTTTTCTGAATAAGACTTGTGTTTTTATGTCCATCGTATTTGTCATATTGAACTGAATTGTATTTTTGATGAATATTGTCTTGAAAAGGTTTATTAAACCGAAACGTCAAACGTCGACATTTCTTTCATTTTTTAACTACATTTAAGGATTTTTGTTTGTTTTTTTCAAAATTTCTTCATATATATATATATATATATATGCACACTGTTTAGTCATTAGTCTCTTTCTTCATTACTACAACATTTACCATATCAAATGAAATACTTTGGGTGGAGTGAAGGGTGCAGCTTGCCTGTTTTTATATCTCTGACACTACCAGTACAATTTAGTAATGCTGAAATCTCGGCTATTGACTTTGCACTTGACATAGTAACAAACACTAAAAGTTTATCATTTTCACAAACACCCTATCAGCATTAATAGCACTAAAAAAAAACAAAGAAACATACCCACTAACTACTAAATTATTAAATAGAATGGACCATCTCTCAATACAAAAGAATCACTATGCTGGATATCAGGCCATATTAGTATACAGTGTAACGATAGAGCCGATTCAGAGGCAAAAGAAACCACTAAACATTAATCACTCAAATACAAAAATCTCATAGACTGATTTCATATCTACCCTAAATGCATCATAAATAAATGGCAGGCATATTGAAAATCCAACCCAGGCAACAAACTGTATAGCATCAGTACCATCATAGGAGAGTGAAAGAGATGTAGGTTGTTATTTACACTCTTTACATCCCAATTATTGTACTCGTCTTTGTTGTTATCACAATGTTTCGGCTGTTGTGCTCTCTGGCCTTCATCAGATGTATATTGATCTGAGTAACCTACAGGAAATTTTTGTTACATCTGCTGTAACAAAAGAGCCAAGCTTCAATGAGTGCAGTCAAGTATGACAGGCGGCAACATCAGCGCTCATCAGCAGCCGGTTAGGTTTAAGGCTCCAACAGCGAAGATCATTATTACAGTAGATATTTCAGTCACCATTTGCAAGAATGGCAAGAGCTTGCTACTCCCCCCCCCCTTCCACAAATTTTAGTATCAGTACCAACAACTGATATTTGTCAATCCAATTATGATTGTTTTGCTTTGTAGTGGAGAAGCCATGGTTTCCAGTTTGACAAGAGCTAATTTGAAAAGCCCTTACTCTGCATACGAGTTGTTTGGATTTGATATCCTGTTGGATGAAGCTCTCAAACCTTGGCTCCTGGAAGTGAACATCTCTCCCAGGTAAGAGGAAATAAACTCTTAATTTATCTTACAATGTTCATTCTTTGTTTAGCACCTTTTTAATATTTTTCTTTATATTTCTAGCCTTCATTCCACCACTCCATTGGATGTAGAGATCAAAGAACCACTGGTCTGTGATGTACTCAACATTGCTGGTTTTCACTTGCCTGTTAAAGATGATCTAATGGCCAATGTTGTCAACAATCACATGGAAGAGTAAGCAATTAAAATTCAAAATTTCAAAAAAAAAAAAAAACAAAAAAAAATCATCTAAAATTGTATAAATTACATTTTTAGTATTTGCTGTTTCAATTTTATTGATCCAACTGAAAAATATTAAGAACTCATTTTCAAACTTTTTTTTTTTTTTTTTTTTTTTAATATTAAGAACAAAATTATAAACCTATCCGTTTCAAATGTCAATTTTAATTTCAAATTAAGCATAAATATTTGAAAAATAATATTGCCAAATTTAATTTTTATTTATAGTGGCCATTACAAACCTCCAAACAGATACTGCCTTGATAAACGACTCTACAGTCAAAATCTTTCTGGGGATGAAAAACTGAAGCATAACTACTATTGTCATCGCAATCTTGACATGGTAAGAGTGAACTTCTCTCTACCTATACATTTTTTTTTTTTTTCTATACTTTAAAAAAAAAAAGAAAAACTGTTACTTTTTTTTTTTTTTCTTTCTTTCTTTTCAGCAAACACAACAAACCATTTTGGATATATTAACTCCATATGATGTTCGCATTTTACTGCTGACTCTTGATGAAGAGAGGCGCTCTGGCAATTTTGAACGTATTTTTCCAAATTATGCAACTTCCAAATATCTACGTTTCTTTGAACAGTTGAGATACAGCAATCTGTTGCTGAATCAATGGCTTCAACGCTACCCCAAGTTGGATTCTCGAGGTTAGTTTGTTTTGTTGTTTTTTTTTTTTGTTTGTTTGTTTTTGTTTTTTTTTTTGTTTTTTTAGCAGATCAGTTTCACCTTTATTTGTTTATTCCTAACCACAAAACTTTAGAATGTTGTACACACTATTTAGGTATCCACTACATGCCTGATTTGGCACACACATTTTCGTGTATTTGAGGGGAAAGATTTCACTTCTTTATCAGTTTCACAATGTGGACGTCTTAGAATCTCTTTGAATATTACTAAGGTAACCAAAAGTTTTTTTTTTTTTTTTTATATATATATATATATTTTAATGTACATTGCATTGATTAAGAAAAAAAATGAATGCTGTCATCATACTGCTGTCCATACTAATTGTGAGATTTGCATACAAAGTACTATTTTCATAATCATAACTACACTAACATTAGTATTTGAATTTTACTTTGGTACGCTTTAGCCACCAACAATTTTATTTTTTTCTTTAACTGTTATTCCTTTTACAACTTATAATTCCCTTAATTCTTTTTTTGCTTGTTAAGTAGGGATGCATCTTGTTTACTTTAGTAATTCTCTCTTAAAATCTGTACAATCCATTTTCTATTTTGTTTCCCCTCTGTATTTTATTTTTTTTTTTTACCTATAAGTAATCAGCTTGACTAGGCTCAGACCTGCTGTCCTGAAGTTGATGTGAATAAACAAGAAACTATAAAACTTTACTAGACTAATGAGGGTTTTTTGTTTTTATTTTTCCTCTTCCTTCCAAATTCACATTTAATGTTTTGAAATTATCTGGTGGACAGTTTTTGTTTTATTTATATGTAGTAAATGTAAAACACAATTTCTAAGCTGTAGGAAATAAGCTCTTTTTTTTCTTTTTCTTAATAAATGTATATGAATATTTATTTTTTATTTAGGATTAATATTGTTAAAATCCTACTGTGAAATTGGTATTCATCTGCATGATCCAACAAGTGACGACAGACATCAGGTATGGTTTAGTTTTGTGTGCATTATTGATGGCTATTATAATACTGCTTCCTAAAATTATAGAGAAACTAATGCAAATATTTGAATTTAATGAAATTAGGGGAAAATCATTCTTCACTTTAGCCAATATCACTTGATGTTTGTGCAAAATGTTTGTAGATTGAAGGATAGAATTAAAATATTAAATACATTTTTTGCTTGAAAAATTTAGCTACAAAATAGTGTTACTCAAAACCTTCAGCTATGAATTACTTGTTACTTTATTTGACCAACTTTAAAAGGCATTGCAAGCTTGATTAGTACATATTTCTTGTACATGTAAATTATTCTGTTAGGTGCTTTTCCGACACTGTTATTTGGTCATCCCAAAATCACACCAAAGATTATAAAATAATTTTTGTCATTTATTGCTATCAGATTATTTAGATCCTGACATAAAGTAACCAACAATATTTAAACACTTTGTTTGAAATTTAGATTACTTGTAGTGGAAATTATGTATATTGTTAACTATCCTCAAATTTATGTTTGTAGTTTAATCCTATCAGCTTTTAAAGAGAATTTGTTATTAATGCCTGAAACACCAAAGTGTTTATTAAAAAGTAAATTAAAATGATTCTATAATGATAGCAAAATTAGTTGTCTAGATTCTCTGTTCGATCCAGTAAGAATCCAATTCTGACATGGCTATTTCACTTAAGTCTGCTTCACTTTTACTTTCAGACATGGTTGGGGGAAGAAAATTGTGATGATAATGACAGAATTCTCAGTTTACAACCTTTTCTCCTTTTTAATTTATTTACTGGCATGCTTTCTGGCTCTAGGTGGTGCCTCAAGTTGATCAAACTATATATACTTGATATTTCAAAATAGTTTTACAATATTTTAGGCATATTCAGATGCTCTCTTAAAATGCATTAGATTTTCATGAGTTTTCAGGTGTTCTGATGATGAAAGGATTAAATGTTCCTCCATGCAAATGAGCATTTCCTGTTTTACTGTTAAATACTTCCTTCCCTTTTTCAGAACAGGTTGATGAACTGTTACCTGTATTTTACTTAAAATTGTATAAGTTTATCCTATACTAACTCATTATTAGTAAACCTCTCCGCTCTTTTTTTTTTTTTTATTTTATGAAACCTTCTGTCAAACTGGTTTTGATTTTTAGATTACAAATATATTAATGACTTGATTACAAATTACAACAAATTTTGTAAAATGGATCTACAGCTTTATTTGCATGGGAATACTTTGCAGTAAATTCTTGCTGTGATTAAAATATTTATTGCATAAATATTAAGGTTGTATTTAGTTTCTTAACATATTTGTAATGAACTTAAGAATTAAAGATATGAAATGTTGAGTAGATTTTGCTATTTTTCTATTTTGTATACAGTTTTCTTAATCTGGGTAATTTTTTTTAATAACATTCATCTATTTCTTCTAGGACCACTGTACTCTTTACTTTTGATTACAGATTACACAATCATGAAATGAGAAATTTGTTTTTGAAATCCATAAATTGGGCCATCAAAATTAGGACCAGAAATACCGACCTGTTTACTCGATGTCAAATTAATTTTTTTTTTTTTTTTTTTTTTTTTTTTTTTCAGTGGATTCCTCCATCGTTGATTGGGGCTTCTGTTCATTCTACAAGTTCAAAGTGTGTCTCAACTATTGGGAAATCTCAAGAAAAAAAATCAGCTTTGGAAAAGAACAGGTGAAATCAATTCAAAATTTGACTTTGCTTTACATATTTTTGTGAGTTGGAGAGGTGCAAAGATTTGCCAAAATGAAATGTTTAAGCTAAAAATATAGCTGAATCCCTACCCAAAGGCTTATTTTCTGTTGGACGACTATTGAGCTGCTATGTGTCATAGATTGAAATATAGTTCACTACGGATATCGAGACAAGATTTACAAGTGGAGTTGAACAAAATTTACACTGTTTCTATTTGAAAGAGTCTCTTTGGATATATTGGATGATCATCTTACAATAGTAGTAAAAAGTCTATATTATGTACGTTCAGTTCTTGTACGATTCAAATTCCCTAAACTTTTTGGATAACCTATCCATGAGATTATTTTATGTAACTGCTACAATTCCTGAGTGAACCAAGAATTTTAATACACTATTTTTAGTTTATTAGGTTTGATTTTTGATAAACTGGTACAGTTTACATCTCCCCAATAGGTTAATTGTATGAATTAATATTGAATTGGGACTATTTTGGGTAAATATTTTTAGCCCTTATTAACTGCTATGCATTTGGTTTTAGTAATAATATATGAGGGATACTCCAAAAATAATATCTCCTACTTATTTCCATGGAAACAGATACAGAGAGCACAATAATAACTGAAGGTGTTAAATCCAGATGATATGGTAAACATTCAGCAAGTAAGTAGATGCAAATTTTTTTCCCAAATGGAGGAATTCACCTCTACTTCATATTTTAATACACTCTTTCATATATTTGTGAGGTTGGATACTAAAAAGTTTAGACTGATCTTTCAATCACTATTTCAGTATTGATTTGAGTGAGTGGGTTGAATCACTTTTCAGCACCATCTTGTTTTAGGATTATAAATTTATTGACTGTTTGTTTTGAGCTTGTAGAATGTGACTTCTGAAAAGTAAATTTGTTGCCTTCTAAGTATTTACTCATTATTGAACAGTGCATATAACTTAGTGTTCAGCAGTTTATTTTCACCTTATTTATGAACTTGGTAACATAAATATCAATTAGCTTCAATACAGGAAATTAAAAATAAGCCATTTTGTTTAAAGCTTCAGACAAAATTAGTTTTTATTTCAGCATATAGAATTTTTTATGCTTATTGTGGATAAAAAAATCAAATGTTTTTAAAAAGAAAAAAAAAATGTTTAAAACTTAAACATTATAAAACTTTATTTTCCTATAAGGAAAATAAAAAAATTTCTTTTTTTTCTCTCTCCAGATAAAAAGAAATCCTGTTATTTTCAACTGCTGCTTGCTGATTTTTTTTAATTTTTTTTTTTTATTCTTGAAGATAAAGAAATTTTATATTCTTTTGTCAGATTAATTACAAAAATAATTTTTATAAAATTTTCCATTTATCACTCCGAAATAAAAATATTAATTAAAAGTAAATGGATTGTTGCTTTTTATTATTTTTTTTTTTTTTTTAAATAAATCCTTTCCTGAATCTTAATTATTGCTGTTAAATTTATTTATTCAGACTAAATTCAAATTGTTTCTCAAGTGTTTAATGTATCCTACATGAGGAGGTTCTTGCTAGACACTGCCAAACATTCTTGTAAGGAATCTGTATTTTTTTTTTCTTCCCTAGCCTATTCGATATACCTTGCACTCTTAGTACATATGTATGCACAATATATGGATGATTAGAAATGTTACTTTATATTATAAAGAAAAATTGATTTTACCTGTTAATGAAAAATTCTAACAGGTATATTTTATTATTTTAAAATAATGTTAAGTTAGTTAAAAATCAAGTAAGTTTCAATAAAACACACCTAGAATAGAATGTTTTATATAATTTACTCAGCATGAGTCTATTTACTCAAAGTTATTAATATTGATCAGTTTGGGTTTGTATAACTTTTAATAGTCCTTTTTAAAATGTCATGATCCTGGTTGCAGCATAAAAACAAACACATTCTTTTATATAGAATATTCAACTAAATTTTGAGTAATGGGAAACTGAAATTTCATAACACCTATTTCTCTTCTCACCATCTAAAAGTGATGCTTACAGTTTTAGTATTCTTAAATGAGTATGGTATGAAATTTATGATTAATACATCGGTATTAGTATAGGTACCTCCATAAAAACATGATACTTAATGTTTAAAATTAATTTTTAATAATGAAAAAACTAATTTAAATTGAAGGAGTTTTCATCTTGAAATTTCTAGAAAAAAAAAAATTAATTTAGCGCCATGTAAATTTTTATCTTCCAAAAAATAAAATATACTTTTTCTGAAATTTTATTTGAGAAATATTAGATTTAAAGTATAATTAATTTGATTTGAAGCGACAATTATTTTTTTTTAAGTTTAAAATATCACAGAAATGCATTTTTTTTAACACAACAGGAGCTTGTTTATTTATATTTACAGCTTTTTAACAGTTCAATGACAGATTTTTATCTAATGTTGTTCTATGGGGGCTTTAACCTTAAAAAAAATAATTAATGAATATAACATAGACACCTTTTAACTACTCGATAATCTTAATTTAAAATATTCTCTATATGTTTTAGATAATTTTGGCTGTAAATTCACTATAATTGTTGCTCTTATTTTCTGATAATGTTGAGTATGGGTGACCATATCTATAAAATTCAGCATATTTTTACACACTAAAACAATTCCAAATTCTTTTTAAAATATTCAGAGGTGTCAGCTTTATGATATCTGATTAGTAAATATAGTTTTACTTAATAACAATATTTCCTAAGAGTTACACTTTTGAAACTGAATTTTAAAAGTATAAATTATTCTAATTAAAAAAAAAAAAATATTTTAAGGCAATATTGTCCTTAATCATAAAAGTAATTTTTATTGCATTTTTATTTTTTGATTCAGAGCATGTTTTTGGTAAGACAGGGTCCTATTTTGCAAAAAAAAAAAAAAAAAGAAATTAATGTAAATTCTCCAAAGAATTCTGCTTTTAACTAATCTATACATATATAAAGGGCAGTTGTATGTGTGTGTCCAGCTAAAACTAAAAAACTACAATAGTTCATGACAAAGTAAATATGTATACACTCATTATCACCCAAGCCAGGTTTTTGTAAAAAAAAAAAATCAGAATGCATTTAAAATTAAACTCAGAATTAAAAAAGTTAAAAACAAATGGTAAGAATTCTTATTCTTGAATCAGATTACCATTTTCCCTTTTTTTTATTCTGCTAAACACTATCCTAGTATATATTTTTAAAATTTCTATTCTTTTGAATTTATTTTCTCATCTATAGTAAATGTGTAACTTTAAAAAAAAATGAACATTAAAACAACAAAGTAAATTTTAAAATGATATTAAATACAATTATTTGAAAAAAAGTTGAATATTTATTTATTCAAATCTCCGTATATATATATATATATATATGTGTGTGTGTGAAAATATATAGAAAATAGGAAGGAGCTGGTTAGGTAAATAATCCAAAGTCCCTTAGTATTTATTATTTTTTAAAAATAGTGCTCGATGCAAAAGTAGAGCATAAATATTATTTATTTTAAAAATATGATTCCAAATCCAATTTGGAATCATATTTTTAAATAAATAATTATATATATAAACCACCCATCAACGGACTTTGGATGCAACAGGCAAAATAAAAAAAATAATCTGCAGGCAAAATACTTCCAAATTGTCAGCCATGTATTTTAAAAATTCCAGGCTTAGCAGAACAAGCCATTAATTTGCAAAGTGACTCTGCTGTGGCAGGCCTTTCAATTGTAAACAAAGATGGAAACTACAATACATCAGCATGTGCGTGAGAAATCTATTATTTTGATTAATATATCTATATATTTATTTATGCCATATATACATGTCTGTAGTATTTACATTATGATCATAACTACTGGTGGTTACTATAGTGGTTTTATAACTCAAATATAATCTTCCATCTACAGACGACCGGCATTAACGGACCCCTATTTGACCATCTGTCTATACAGGCTCAGTATAAAGGGCAGTTGTGTGTGTGTGTGTGTGTGTGTGTATTATTGACTTATTAATATTTTTCAGCTATCTTATGGAAAATAATTTTTTTATTCAGTCTTTAAAAAATAAACTTCATTGTTTTTTGTTTGTTTGTTTTTTAACTAACATAAAAAAGTAAATAATTTTCAGTTAAGTTTTATTAAAGTAAAAAAAATATAGTGAGCCTTATCTTTTTGAAAATTAATTTAAATAAAATATACTTATCTTTTCAGTTACAAATATAACTTGAAATTTAAGCAATCGCTTTTCAAAACCATTCTCAATGTATCTTGCTTCTACTCGCTTTCAAAATAGTAATTAAATTCATTTACAGAGAAATGTTTAAAAGTTTTTATTTACTTAAAAAAAAATCTAAATTCCCTTCAAATAAATAGTAAATAATTTTTTTTTTTTTAAGTAAGGCACGCTATAGTTTTTGCTTGAAAAAAAAAAAAAAAAAAAAAAAAAAAAATGGTTTAAATGTCCTAAATCAAGTTTTACTTTTTTAATAATTTGGAAAAAGGTTAATGAACTTTTATCTAAGTTTGATTTGTTTGAAAACAACATTAATAGTGTATTTGTTAGTACTTAAATTGAAAAATAAAGTCTTTTGAATAAAAATATGAGGATGCTCAGTCCCCCCCAAAGAAAGTGTGGTATTTTCCTGAATTTAGTTATTTTGTAACAACCCCCCAAAAAAACAATGAACTTTATTTTTTTTAAAGATTAAATAAAAAAATAATTTTCTAAGATGGCGAAAAAATATCAAATTGACAATAATAAATTTATTCAGAGATCTGAGCAATGCTGGGTATTTCCACTAGTATAGTCACTAAAAATTATTACATTGAATTTCTTAAGTCTTCATAAAATAAGGGGGTGCAACATGTTTAGAAAAAGAAAAACAAATTACCAAAATTTTTTAATAAAAAAAAAAATTCTAAAATTTAATTCATTTGTGAATACGTCCTGAAAGTTTCATTAAAATCAGACAATTGATTTTTGCAAGAATTTCTGAATTAATGTGTTTGTCATTGCAAAAAAAATAGACACCAATATTTGCTATGCTAATTTATAGAACATCTGCTGAGGCAAGAAAAAAGATTTAATTAAATGATCTTTCTTCTTAATAATAAAATTTTTGGCAAAAGTTTTTCATTACGTTTGGAGCATGTTTTTATCACACGGTATACTGATTTTTTTTTATTTTTTTTTTTTTTAAATAGCGATTTTGGGGAGGTACCTAGATTAGTATAAGATAATGGAATAGTAAGTTTAAAATACTCATTTATAACATTGTTTATCTTAGATATTGGTGATTTAACCATCTTTTGACAGGGTTGCTCCCAAGTGTTGGAAGCTGGACACTTTCTCCAGTGGTTTACCATCTATGGTGACGCTGGCAATGCAGAAATCCATACATGGATTGCCACAACAGCAATGACCAGACTTTTGTATCCATCCTTCTCTCTGGACACTCTTGCATGAGGTATGAAAAAGGATCCAGATGTTAGAGAAATAATGCTTGAAAAAGCTCCTCTGCATCTACTGGAAACCCAAAACCAATGGTTATATGGAGCAAGGTCAAGTTGTGTGATCGAACAGGAATCTTTTCTTGTGACTATTAAATGTCAGATATTATG